GAATGGTCTTCAAACCACATACACATCTGACCAAGCTCCAAAGCAAGGAAGCCGCAGAGCAGGTGAACAACAGATGATCAATTGATTCATCTTTCCCACAGAACACACACCCTTTCCCCCTTTCCACCCTTTTTTGAGTAGGACATTGTCGGGGAAACTGATCCACGAACACCTATGGGGATCGGCGGACCGAGCCCCTTTCGGTTCGGTGAGGGCGGAGGTTGAACAAAGAGCGGATCGAGGCAGTACACGCGGGCGGTTTTTACCCAGCTTCGGGCCGCACGGATGCGTAAAACCCTACTGCTGCTTGTTTGTGTGTATTGAATCTTTGCTCAGGAGCGATTGACGCTATCAGACTGAGCGTGGGAGTGTTTCTGGTGTTTCGAATGAGCCGAACCGGCCGAACCCCTTCTACGTTGCGCTTGGGCCTCCTTTTATACTCTCAAGGGGTCACCCACAGTTGGCAACGTAGACTAGAAGGGTAAATGGAAAAGGATGTGGTAGGTGCAGCTACCGCTACTGTGGATACAGTGCACCCTACCTAACTCTGACGGCAGGGGACAAGGGCATTAAATGCCTGTCTGAGTCTCCTAAACAGTGCAAAAGGTGACCGTTAGGAGCGCCACTGTTTGCCACGTTGGGCTTCTCTTCATCTCTGCTTGCCACCTCGTACCCCTAGCTGCACGGCCTCCTGCCACGTGTGCTTGGGAGAGTCCTAGAGCGACACGTTAGCAGGTGTGCTGGAGCGCGGGCACGAAGTGGTGGTTTCCCGCGGCAAGCTCCTTGCTGCGGCCGTCGTCTTGTCGCATCCGGAAGCTTGTCGCTCGCCGGATCTTGCCGGGACGCAGGGCGCGTCGCGGCAAGCTTTCTTGGTATGCCTTGGTTGGCCTTCCCGGCAAGCTCCTCTTGCCGGGGCCTTGTCTCTTCCCGGCAAGATCCTCTTGCCGGGGCCTTGGTTGGCCTTCCCGGCAAGCTCCTCTTGCCGGGGCCTTGGCTCTTCCCGGCAAGATCCTCTTGCCGGGGCCTTGGTTGGCCTTCCCGGCAAGCTCCTCTTGCCGGGGCCTTGGTTGGCCCTCCCGGAAAGCTCCTCTTGCCGAGGCCTTGGTTTGTGTACTTTGTTTTTGAATGGTCTTCAAGGGAACCACGGAGGGTCTTGGCGGTCACCCGGCAAGCCTTGCCGCGGGGTGCTGCAACTGCCCGTGCACGAGTTCGGGAAACTAGGGTACCCCTACTCTAGTACACCGACAGGAGCCCCCGGGCCTGGGCCATACACGGTGCCGAGCGTTGTTGGGCCAGGCCCAAAACAGTGCACGGGCACGCGCGGCCTGGGTCCACACCAAATCTCGCTCCGTATCCACCGCACCCCCCGCAACGGCACGCGTCAATCACGGCGTCGTGGGGAAGATCGTGGGTGGTTCTTTATTCGGAGAGAGCGCAATGTCCGCCCCTTTCTCCTTATAAGCAGGGGAAACAGGGGTATTTCCCCTATCTTCGCCATTTGCTGCTGCAATCTCAAAAACCTCCGCCGCCCTCTTCCGCTTCCAAAGTCGAAAGAGAGCAGCGCTCCGCTCCCGTCGCCGTCGCCACCACCAGCACCGTCGATCTCCCCCACCACCTCCGCCATGCCTCCGAAGCCCGGGAAGGGGAAGGCCACGAAGGCCGCGACCGCGAAAGCTGTGAAGTCGACCGAAGCGCAGCGGCTTGAGGCGCTGCGGAAGGAGCGGGCCACATTCCCCCCCGAGCTCTCCGCGGAGGAGCTGAGGGAGTGGTACTATCTCTTCTGGTCGACGGAGACGCGGGCGCATCGGCGCACGAAGGTACTCTCCGCCGTCGCCTCGCAAGCAGCTCCAGTTGGCGGATATCCTTTCTTCGCCGTGTTCTTCTACTGCGGGCTCTGCCCGCCATTCTCTGATTTCTTTTGCAACGTCATGAACACCTATGGACTCCACCTCCTTGACTTCACCCCCAACGTCGTTCTGACCATGGCAGTTTTCGCCCATCTATGCGAAAACTTTGTCGGAGTCCACCCCAACGTAGCTCTCTTCCGCCATTTCTTTATGCCTTGTGTCGAGAGAGGGGAACCTCTTGCCGGCGGGATCGCCTGGATCTCGCGGGCCGGCAAGAAGGAGACCTATCTGGAGGGGGAGCTCCGCAGCAAGTGGGACGAGTGGAGAGCTGATTGGTGCTGGGTTGTAGAAGAGAGCCCGCAGCCATTCACCGCCTTGCGCCAAGCCCCAGCAGTGCGTGGCAATGACTGGAGCGCTCTGTCCGTGGACGACGACAAGCTGACGATCGCCACCACTCGGATCTTGCGCCTCAGGCTTGCCGGGCTGACTGTAGGAGCTGTTGGCGCAGATTTCCTTCATCGGCGGATCGCCCCTCTGCAGGCGAGGGGGAGATCCGTCTGAGAATTTGGAGGCCCGGCAGATATCATGAGGTTGCGCCCAGGCCTCAACTTCAATTTCAGCGTCATAGAGTTGGACGGGATACTTAAGGAGATATTCAAGCATGACCCACAGCATCCCGAGTGGTTCAGGTTGCCGGCGGGCATCGCTCCTCTGTGCAACAACTCCTCACGCGATCGCATCTGTGCCATGATGCCGTTGTGTGACTCGCACGGGATTGCTCCAACTTGGCAAGAGCCCGCCGGCGACGTCGTGCAGCAGTTCTTTGACAGCCTAGTAGAGGTGGCGGTCAATGCTGACGAGAAGAAACTCCTCACCCGCGACACCACTGAGCAAGAGATGGAGCGCATCGCCACCAGGGCGGAAGAGGCGGCGGCAGCCGTGGCCGCGGGTGAATTTGGGTTCACCGTGGAGGAAGCGGACGCGGCGTTGGCGATGAGTATTGCCGAACGGGAGCAGCCCGAAGAGGAAGAAGAGCTCGCCGCGCCCGACGCCGAGTCGAACGAGCCCGCCGAGGGTGCGAGCGGCCCGCCATCTCCGAGGAGCTTGCCGCGAGCAGGGCCCGCAGCGCAGCCAAGAAGGCGCCTCCGCAGGGTTGACGACGTAGCAGGGCGGCAAGTGGGCCAACAGCCGCAGCGTCGCGCGACGCGCTCT